CCTGCCCCCTGCAGCCCTCTCCGCGGACAGCATCCCTGCTGTAGTCCCAACAGAGAAGCTGCCATCACCAAATAGCCTTTCATTCCTAAAATATAAGCAATAGAACTACACCATCCACTCTTGTCAGCTCCCCTCTCCACAACGGTCTCCTGCTTTTATTTCAAGATTTTAGCATCACTTCCCATGTGATTTTCTGCTATCATTTTTAGGGCTTCTGTGTTCATATTGAGGATTTTTCCAAGTCACGGCTCCACTTCCATATCACTGTTGACCTCTATCCTTACTCCACTTCTTCTGTTTACTTGGACAAAGACACTCTGGATTAGTGTCCACTAAGCAGTAGCACTGGCATCACTTGGGAGCTTGCTAGGAAGGCAGAGGAATCCCTGACCCCAGCTCAGACTACATCAGAACCTGAAGTTTAACAAGATCTCCAGTTGACTCGAATACACATTAATATTTGAGAAACACTGGATTAGCTCATCCATTTAAAATTCAACAACAAAGACAACAAAAGTAGATATTAAGTACCTAAGTAACACATGCCGGCACTGTGGGTAAAGATGAGAATTAGACAGTTCCTGACCTCAAGGAGTTTATAATCTACTGGAGACATTATAACTTGTGATAAAATTCCGTAAGATGCCTGAACAGATCTCTGAGCACAGATGAAGGTGTGCTCAGTGCTGCTGGAAGACTTGGCAGAGGAAGTGCCGTCTGAATTAGGTCCTGGAGGTGGACAGGAGTTTGCAAGGCAGAGGAGAGGAGGAAGAACTTTTCATGCGAGGGGAGGAGCATGTGCAAAAGCACAAGGCAGATAAAAGCCTTGAGGATTCTGGGCACAGAGAAGAGTTGAGTGTGGTTAGAATTCGGGGTTCACAAGAAGAAATGGGGAGATACTACTCTGGAAGAGGGGGATGGGGCCAGCTTGTAAAGAGCCCTGTCTGTTCTATAAACAGTAAAGACTTTACCCTGAAATCGAGGTTTTCAAGCCACATAGAGATATACTCCTATCTGTGTTTTAGAAAGACAACACATCTTCAAGTCTCAACCCTTAGAATTCCACCTCCATGATGGTAAATTCTGAGATTCTCCAATCAACTTCCTACTCACCTACTCTACCTCTTCAAAATGATTTGTTCTTTACCTTCTTTATAGTCTCAAGTTCTTTAAAACCCTCCCTCAACTTACAACATTTGTTCATTTATTACTCTTCGTCTGGCCTCACCTCTCATTTCTCAGCCTGAACTCCAAGGCAAGCCAAGTCAACAGTATCTCTTAGGAGAAATTCTGATTATTCAGCTTTTCTGTCCTTCCGCCATGCCTGTCCAGCCCGTCTCCCACCCTACAGAAAGCACCTTCCACTCGTTTTCTTCCATCCTTCCCTCAGGGTACCAAGCGGTCCTGGGCAAAGTCATAAAATAGAGCCAACTGGTTTCTTCATAAATCTGTGCTTTTCAACCTTAACTGGGCCCTTCACTTCTGACGGGAATTTAGTCCTTTCTAGCCAATTGTCTATAACCCTCCATCTTTCACGCCCCACTTACTTAGCTGAAACCTCCTCCTCATAAGTCTCAAGCCCTCAAACCCACCGCTGCCATTGTTTTTGCAGACGCCCCTGCGTCTTCGTTCACCCCGGTGGGGGTTGCTTGGTGTGAGCCTGCTTAACGTCTTCAGCTTCTCTGAGCCACTGCTCATTCATCGCTTCATCTCACGGCAGAGGAAGCTGCAGTCTCCTCTTCAAGGTCTACTTCTCCACGTGTGTCTTTGAGCTCATCGCCCCTTTCATTTTCTCAGCTCTCTCCTTTCTTTCTTGCATACCCCATCTCTTCTCTGTGCCCAGGCATTTACTCTATTTCACTGATTTTATGATACACATTTCTTCATCATTATAATCTCTAAAGTCAGGATACGTCTCATAGTGGTGGTGTCTGGTAATTAACTGGCAGTGTTCCCCACCCCCCTTATGTAAAATACAGGTGTCATATAGTCAAAGCCTTTTTAGATCTGATGAAACATGGCAGCTTGCAAACCTAGAGGTCCTCAATCAGCAACGGCTCAGCAGCCCCGGCACCTCAGTGTGTTGACTTCCTTTAAATCACTGCAGGGTCCGTGACTGACGTGCTGCCCTCCCAGTGACAGACTAACGTGCAGCTCTAGTTGTGCCACTGTTCTGTCCAAAATTTTTATAAGATTTATTACAGAGGTGTTAATAATTCTCCCCCAAACTACCTTTGCACCTTTCTCTGCTGCTGCTCTCATATATGCGTGCTACACGCTGGGAAAACGCAACAACCTTGTATTGTAAACCCCCGCATCTCTGTGCCTTCCTCCTGCCAATATATCTGCTTTTAGCACCTTCCTCCCAGAACGCATCTTGTCTTTCACACTATAGCTCAAATGTCACCTCTGGGCCAATCAAAGGTAAATAATTTCCTCCCCCCATGAATGCCACAGCACTTCATCTGCTCTTCCCCTTTCATCTCCTATTACAGTCATCACTGGCCACCTCTCTCTCTACCACACTGAAAGCCACCTGAGGCCAGGGTGCAAGTCTGCCTCATCTTTACATGCACTCCTCAGTAATGAGGGAAAAAGTCGCCATCAGTCCAGGGTAGGGGCCTCCAAAAGAAATGGATATCACTGCAAATGAACTGTTGACCATCAGGGCTTAAGAGTTATTACGAGGGGGTCTTGAAGGGTGCATGCTAAACTGTTAACAAATGACAACTATCTTTTGGGAGCGAGAATGCTGGGGGTGGGTGGAAGACAGTGAAATCCTGGTGATAAAGACTGATTTTCACACTCTGCTTCATATACTTCTCT